TATGTATGTATGTATGTATGTATGTATGTATATGTATAATTTATTTACAAACATACAAAATACACAAGACAAAACTTAGACGTACACTACATTTACACAATATAGTACAATATAGTACTATTCTTTCTAATAGAAATTTCAAATCAATACAATTATCTTTACGTTATTTCCCCTTCTAATATATTTCATTTGCGTTTCACCATGTTTAACCCTCTTATTTTACTCATCTATCTGCTATATTGGGTGATTACCTCTAATAAATTTAAACTCTCTTGAGTGCATATATACATGTTAATTCTTCTTAACTTGTATTTTTGAGTTTTATTGACTTCTTTCATTGATCCTTGTTTCTTTCTTCCATCCACCTATACCCGGGATAGCAAACCTATGGCACGCATGCCACAGGCGTTGCCCTGTCAGCTGGCCAGCGCAGTCAGCTGACTGCGCTGGCCAGCTGAGTTCAGCTTTTTTAAAAGCCATTTTTCGCCCTCCCCAGGCTCTAAAGGCTTTATAGGAGCCTGGGGAGGGCAAAAAGAGCCTCTCCCCCTGGAGGGCCTCCGGAGGCTTCAGGAGCTTCCCTGAAGCCTCTGGAGCACCAAAAAACGGTCCTATGGGCAAACCGGAAGAACTTCCAGTTTGCTCATAGGGTCAGTTTAAGTCCTCTGGAGGCTTCAGGGACCTGAGGACTAAAAAGGACCCTACAAGCAAACTGGAAGTCACTTCCAGTTTGCTCGTAGGGTCGGTTTAGGCCCTCCAGAGGCTTCAGGGACATTCAGGAGACTTCCCTGAAGCCTCCGGAGGACTAAAAAGGACCCTATGAGCAAACAGGAAGTCACTGAAGGGAAATCATGCATGGGCATGCCGCACCCATAAAGTCACTTCCGGTTTGCTCGTAGGGCCAGTTTAAGCCCTTCAGAGGCTTCAGGGAAGCCTCTGGAGGGCTTAAGCCTCCGGAGGGCTTCCGGGAGACAGAGGAGACTGTATTTGCCCTCCCCAGGCTCCTATAAATCCTCTGGATCCTGGGGAGGGCGAAAAAAGCATGCAAAAAATGAGGGGAGGAGTGCCTCTCATGTGTGCATGCACACTGGGGGGCTTGTGCGTTGCATTATGGGTGCTGCACGCCCACGCACAACCCTTCTGTGCTCCCCTCCTTATGGCACGCGAGCTGACCTATACCATTTCCCCCATATTTGGTAATATTCTGTTTCTTCTTTTAGATGCTAGGAGGTTTTATCTCATACTTATGGTGAATGTTTATTGTGAAGCTTAGCGGCAGAGAGATATCAGGGATACCTGACCAGACAGTGTGAGCTAGATTCTTTCATCTTCTGAAGCATAAACTAACAAAATGGAGTTGCATGTCAAAATAATAGTTTCCATCTTGAAAATGTAAGTTCAGGAAGACATGGAAGGGATGACAACTCAGTCTGACAAAATCAGAAGTGAACAGGCTGAAATTTGAATGCAATAACAAGGGAGAGATGTCAACATTTCCTCCTGGCTTAAAGCAATAGTCCCTTGGTGTATTAAACTGTTTCTGAATTTTATGAGATTCCCCATGCTGACTGGGGAATTCTGAGAGCTGATGTCCGTACATCTTCCAGTTAACAAGGTTGAGAAACAAGGTTGTGTTATGTCAGCAGGAGAAAGACGCATCAATCTTGAATTTCACTATGCCCATTTGCATTTTGGTTTTTACAGTTGTCAAAATTTTCTTTTCTTTTCTTGTGTTTGCGGTAAACAGAGTTTATTGATGCATTTGAATTTGAATCACTGCCAGTAAAGTATCTCATTTCAGTACTTCTTTTTTGGGGTGGTGGGGGAGAGAGAGAGATCGTTCTCAAATCAAATCAAACCTTTATTGTCAGTGCACAACATGTGTACAATGAAATTAAATTCTCATTTCCTAATTATGCAAAAAGAAATATTTAGATGTTTCAGCATATAGTTCCTACTTTTGACTATTAGGTGACTGTGCTTGTAATTTTCTTTTGAAGAAAAATTTTAAATCTGTGCTGCCACAAATATATCTGATTAAGTAGGCAGCTTTTATATCTATTTGGATCCAAGGCTGCTCAGATTGGCTGTAACCTGACCCCTGACATATGGATAATATAGTTAAATGGTTTGGTGTCTTTTTGACAACACAACTATACCTCATGACTGAGGCTAGGAGTAGGGGGACATTAAGATAAGGTAAGGCGTTTTTGGCAGGAAGTAGAATGATGTCCACAGATAGAAATGATGTTGGAGACTGTGAAATTTGGGTAGCCACGTTAAAATGTTTCAGTCTTGGAATTAAATAATGGATAAAAGGACATATTGGCCAAAACTACATCTGGACAGATGGATTAGGAGGCAAAGTCCTGAACTTTGAGAAATGTCCTACTCCCAGCTCAAATAAAATAGTTTTAATGGGGAATATTGATGCTTCTCTAACTGGAATTCTTGTCAAAAAGAATGCTGCAGGCAAGTAAAGTCTTCTTTTAGAGCAGGGGTAGGGAACTCTGACTCTTTTATGACCTGTGGACTTCAACTCCCAGAATTCCTGAACAAACATGGCTGGCTCAGGAATTCTGGGAGTTGAAACCCACATAAAGGGGCCACAACTCCCCACACCTCTGTTTTAGATGATGTGGACATTTTTCAGGCTGACCCTGGGACGGGATCACTGAATGGGAGGCTTGGAAATCTGGCCTGGATAAGGAAAATGAAGTTTGTATTAAGATAGCACCCCACCCCCACCCCAAAATCATGAAAAAGGATTAACTCTGTAGCGTGTTATTTATGTCTTTATTAAATTATAGTCAGCCACATCTCAGCAATTCTTCAGATTGCCAAGGATAAAACACAACAAGATCACAGAAAATACAAATAATACAAGTATAGTAACGAATACTAATGTGGGCATACCCCGTTTCTGAGAATGGAGAAGTTCCAGAATTTCCCAAATTCTCTTTTTAGTGGATTAGTCACAGGGTATTTATATTGCTTCCATAACACTTGGTTTATTTACATGTTAAACATGTCACAACAGCTGAGGCTAGTGAATTTGTCAGAGCTCAAAAAGCTAAGAAAAATCAATCTACTCAATATCTGGATGAAAGGCCACAAGGGGCCTTTCATCCTAGAGCTGAAGGCTAGATAGAGTAGTTGAAAGAAAGGTATGGCAAAAACAAATCCATGCTTTGAAAGAAAATTATAGGTGGTCACCATGAATTTGTGGATTTCAATTGAAGAAAATCTTTATTTTATGGCAGTGTTGCTCAATCTTGGCAACATTAAGATGTGTGGACTTCAACTCCCAGAATTCCTTAGCCATGCTACCCTGGGAATTCTGGGACTTGAAGTCCCTACATCTTATTGTCACCATGGTTGAGAAACCCTGCTATAAATATGTAATGTAGTGCAATATTAGTAGTCTAATAGACCCTTGTACCCATTTGATCTGAATTAACATCTTGGAACTATATCTCAGTCTTCATTATTTATTACTTAGGGCTCTTCTCTATGGCAACCAGAAGCTGCTGGTCCTCCCATGGTGATACCATTTTTTCTTTCAATTTTAGAGTAAGACATAATAATATAGTGATCTATGACCATAATAAAGATTTGAAGCCACTGTAAAACATAACCAGTATTCTAAGCTTTAGGCTCCCTACTTAAAGCGACTCCACTTTCTTTTTAGAAAAAGAAAACTAGACATAAAAAGGAAGAATTCCAAAGGTTCAGGAAGCAGGTTTTGCAGGATTTAAGAGTTCAAAAGCAACATTGACTGTCCTTCCCTGTGTGCCAGCTTCAGCTGACAAGATCCCAGTAAGTTAATTTACTTGTTCTCCAACTGCTCCTTCATGAAATACTTTTTTTGCAACTTGAAAGACAAACTTCTAGTGGAAGTTCTTCAGAGGAGTGTGTATCAACCATGTCTTGGTGGTGTAAATCTGATGGCATTGACTGTTTTTACCACAAGGAAGTTCACAGAACTCATGGTCTAACTTTCATCTGGTAGGATGTAGTTAGGTAAAGGGCTTGCCTATCCTACTTGTATATGCTTGTTGGTCACAAAACCTGCTTCACTAATCCTTGCTCAGATTCGATTCCCATTCTTAGGAACACATACAGAATTTCAACAAAGTGAACAGAAGGAACCACACATTACTTCTGTCCCCCCTCCCCCCAATTACACTTTAAAAATTATATTTTCTGTCCCTATGATCCTGAATTTGTCTTGTCATCAAGTCATTGTCCTCCTCTCTTCAATGTTGTTAAAACATTCCTCAACAGTTGCCATGAGCTTGCTACAATGCCATGATGAGTCAACTTCCATTCATTTTAATTTTCAAGGAAATGTTCCCATTATTGTACCAGATGCGATCGGATTACCAGATATAACACCTGAGATGAAAAAGGTGGCTTCACTTTAGGAGGGAAGAGAATTACAGTGCCACTGGCTATTTAATAACCTATTAGCAGTCTCGAACTATTTATCTGTCTTTTTGTTAACCTGCACAGGTGAGGACACAACTGCCTTAACAAGAGTCAGAACAATATAATCATCAAAATATCATTTAGCCACTGCAAAGGGTAGGTTTTGGTATTGTTGGAAAGCTCTTATTTTCAGAATCTGTTTTTCTAAATATTAAAAGGTTCATGGAAATTATTACAAATCTCCTCACCTTTTAAATTATAGTAAGAATATTCAACTCAGCCTTGCCCGTATCCCTGTTCTAGAATCAAAAGATCCATCATTGTATCTGAGAACTGAGGATCAGTTGCAAAAGTGGATTTTCACCCTGATAATGATCCTGGTTGATGGGGTATAAACAATTTCTAGGTGCAGGTTAACTTGCTTTCACAAGACATAAACTTCTTCATGGCTTCATAGAAAAATCAATAGTTTTGATAGATTTGTCTCTAGATGGAGTTCAGATTTAAAAGCAAAAATATTCCTGCATGGGCCCCTTTTAAAAATATATTATTAATCAGAATATTGAAGGAGTTTTTCCTTAAATATTCTCTTCCAGTCGTGATTATGGTTATAGAGTTCTGATACTCATAACACCCTAGCAAGTCTCTCAACAGCTACCTGTCTGACTCTTTCCCCTACTGGCCCATCTCAGTCTTGGGAAAAAATTGGACTTGAGCTACAGAATGCCAGGATTCAATTTGCAGTTTTGGGTATTATAATAATCTACTTGTGAAGACACTTATGGGCAAAATATGTGCTCACCTGAACCCAGCATATCTCTGGGTTATGAAAGAGGAAGGAGGATGTCTATAGCAAGATGATCCTAACATGGGTATCTGTAGTATAGATGAATACACCAACATCTCAGAATGATCTTCTCTTCTGAATAGCCTTCCCTATTGGTTCTCCTTAGTGCTTTCTTCGGACACTGTTGCATAGATACATGATTCATGGACTGTATCATAAAGGCTTGGTGGTCTGATTTTCAGTGAATTGTGGTTTATTGCAGCATAAGAAACTTCATCAGGGGTTTCCTCCATGGGAGAGCTTAAGTACTGGAGAGAACAAAAAAAAAGACATTGAGAGTGTAGTGTTTCTGCTAATGCTTCAACAGAAGCCTTTAAGTATGCTCTAAAAATGTTAAGTGTGGCCTCTCCTGAACAGTTAAATAATGCTGGGATACTGATACTTAACCAAAAGCCAGTTTGGTCTAATGGCTAAGGCACGGCCTAGAAAGCAAGAGACTTTTGAGTTGAAGTTCCACCTGGTCATGAAAACCAGCTGGGTGATCTTGGGCCAGTCACTCCCTCTCAGCTCAACCACCCTTATGCTTTTTGGTGTCCCCATATGCCAAAAGAGGGGTTTTTTATGTTATAATAAACACGTTTTGTCAATTGCCACCATGTTCTCCCAATAGAAACCTAGGGTTGGTGTGGCTATTCACAATTTGATTACAATTCAAAATATTATGAATCAACAACATTCATTCAATATTCATTGAGAGCTGTCTGGTGTGGTGATTGGGATGCTGGTATGTATGTATGTGTGTATGTATGTATGTATGTATGTATGTATGTATGTATGTATGTATGTATATGTTTGTGTGTTTTTTGTGTATGTGTATATACACACACACACATATACACGTTATCTATCTATCTATCTATCTATCTATCTATCTATCTATCTATCTATCTATCTATCTATCTATCTATCTATCTATCTATCTATCTACCATCTATAAAAATTCCTTCAAGAGCATTATTGAGGGGTAATTTTCTCAAAATCCCTACTCACAGTCACTCATGCCCTAGTCACTTCCTGTGTTGACTATTGCAACATGGTCTACATGGGGCTGCCCTTGAAGAGCATCTGGGAGCTCCAGTTGGTAGAAAATGCAGTGGCCTGCATGATTTGTTTAAACACCGGTGTGCACATGTATCACCTCTCCTGTGGAAGTTGCATTGGCTGCTGATTTGCTTCCAGATACAATTCAAGGTGCTGATTGTCACCTTTAAAGCCCTTCCATGGCTTGGGACCAGGTTATCTGAAGGACCGTCTCTTGCCAATTACATATACCTGACCCCTAGAGCGGGAAGGCAAGGAAGAAGGGCCTTCCCCGTTGTGGCTCCCTCTCTCTGGAACATCATTACCCCAGAGATTAGAATGGCCTGCATTCTAATACTCTTCCGGAAGGGGCTAAAGACCTGGTTCTACCAGCAGGCCTGGGGAACACAGAGTGGGATAGAGCCCATTAAATGGCTCGTGTGAGGTGCTGTTGCCGGAATGGGGGGGGGGGAGGATAATTTTAGTATATTAATTTACTATATGACATTTTTAAAATTAATTTTATTGTTTCTTATATGGGGTTTTATATTCTGTAAGCTGCCTTGAGTCGTATTTGTGAATATGCGGCAATGTAAATTCCGTTAAATAAATAAATAAAATACTATATGCAGGACTCTTGATCACATGGTTTCTTCCTAATTGTATAATCTGGAGTTTTACGGGAACTCATTTTGATTTCATCTTACAAAAGACAGTGCAGAAAGCAGAAGTAACCATGTGCCTTGTTCTGTGTTAGCAAATTTAATTGCACTTTCTCATCATTAAGCAAAATTTTACCCCAAACAATAAACAATGTTTGGAGAAATCATGAAGAAAACTTCCAGGGTTGAGATCATTAGAACTTTTGCAGATTAATCATGTACCTTGAGGAGACTTGGATATTGAAAACCATTATTTGGTGATGTGTTGGAGAAGCAGATTTGGAAATTAAGTATGTCTTTCCGTAGCTATTTTTGGCCCTTTGATTGATTACCGGTAAATTCCATCAACTCTTAGTGAACGCATTAATCAACCTTTTCCAGGATGCCCAACTTGATCCTCATGGTGCATCATCATTGTAGTTAAGTCCGTCCAAAGTGCTGATGTTGGTCCTTTTCTCTTCCCTTCCACATTTCCCAGCATTATGGACTTCTCAAAAAGGTTGGGTTTTTTGCTTTACATGGTCTAAACATGATAGTTTGAACATGATTTTTGGTGACTTAAGATTTTGGATTGATTTGTTCTACCATCTGGTTTTTTTTTTGTTTGTTTGTTTTGGGCTGTCCTTGACAGACATCTTCAAGTAATTTCTTCAACTTCAACTTTTAACTAAAGTTGAAAACCATCTACTTCTTCAAAGTCCAAAGTTTACTTCCCTAGAATATCAAAGAAAAACGTTGCCTGCCCAATTCTAACCTTTATAGATATAGGCCCAGCAGGGACCAGAATGATTTTTTCTAAAGCCTTCGTTGCTCCCCTACTGAGTGCTGGTCTGCGGCATATTTCTTGACTGCTGGTTCTTTTATTGCTAATACAGGTAGTCCTCAACTTACAACAGTTTGCTTAGCGGACATTTGAGATTACAACGGCACTGAAAAAAGCTATTTATGACAAATTTTCATACTTATGATCATTATAGCATCCGCATTGCCATGTGATTTACATTTGGATGCTTGACAACTGACTCACATTTATGACAGTTGTGGTGTCCCAGGATCATGAACCTTCTGTCAAAGAAAATCAATGGGGAAACCAGATTCACTTAACAACTGTGTTAGTAATTTAACTTCCATAGTGATTCACTTGTCACAAATGTGGCAAGTGAAGTCATAAAATGGGACAAAACTCACTTAACAAGTTTTTCATTTAGCAACATAAATTTTGGGCTCAATCGTGGTTGAAAGTTGAGGGCTACCTGTAGTTGATCCTAAAAGGCAGAAGCTATCCATTGCTTCAATATCTTTGTTGTGAATCTTATGTTTGGCTGCTGTGCCTTTTGCCATAAGCATAGAGGTTGAATAAATAAAGAGAGGATATTTAGCCTTGTCTCATTCTTTTGCTGACATTCAAACTTACCTTGAAAACTTGCATGCTGCTTATGATCGCTTAGCAGACCCAGTAAAAATATTGGCCTAATATGAAATGTGAAGGTATTCTTAAGGCCAAGATACTTTTCCTTGCCTTTTGGGATACTCAAAGATTTTTTTAAAATGAAAATTCGCCCCGTCTTCTTGATTTATAACCTACAGATTCATGGACAGCATGTTTACCATTATAGGATTAGTGTGCAGAAAATGTTTCTTACCATCTTGGCTGGTACATTGCTTTCTTTGGTAACAGAACCTGTAAGTCAAAAAAAGCCTTGTGAAAAAATGTTCTTTGGCTTATTTTAAATGATAAATGCTGGTTTATTTTCTATACCCAAGCTCCTGGTTTTAACAGTTTGGCTGCATATAATCTATATTAGGAAATTTCTGCAATCAGGTAGATACATTTTACATTGCTTTCTGTACTCCACAGAAAGGCAGTGAATTTTACAACCAAATTATGGAATCCTATCGCTGGAAAAGTTCCAGTATTCCAGACTGAAGGACATTGTCCAATGTGGTGTCATCACCATAAATGAATGTGGTAGAATTTTGGGGTGGGTTTTAAGGATAACAATGGGAAAGGAGACCTCTAAAAGAGAAATATTTCCCTTCTTAAAAATCTTTGTTTCAAAGGATGGAGATGGTAGTAGTGATACACCACTCTGTTCCCGCTTTTTACACACCCCTACAACCTGAAAAGTGAACTAAACTCACATTATCGGCAGTTCAGCATTAAATACAGGTAGTCCTCAACTTCCAACAGTTCATTTAGTGGCTGTTCAAAGTGACAATGGCACTGTGACCATTTTTCACACTTAAACCATTGTCTTCTTCCCATGGCCATGTCATCAAAATTCAGACGCTGGCAAATGACTCATATTTATTGTTGTAAAAGTTGTAAAATGGGACAAAACTCACTTAACAAATGTCTAACTTAGCCACAGAAATTTTAGGCTCAATTGTGGTTGAGCCTAAGTTGAGAACCACCGGTACTGATTCACCAAAAAATGATTGTTTAAGGGGATTCCTCAGATTTTCCTTTACATCGATTTAATGCGTTTGTAATATTTATGGACTAATCCAAGCTATAGTAGCAAACAATAGTTGCAAAATACAATAATTAATCAATAATAGCAATAGTATTAAATTACCTGTGGCAATTATCTGAACCCAGCTAAGGATGGAAAGCTGCTGGAATAGTACAGATTTAACTTCTTTCCCAAATCAAATCAGTTTGGAGCCATTTCTACTTCTACATCTGGTATGAAGCTGCTCCAAACAAATGGAATTCTGTGTGTGCTTTCTGCTCCCTTGCTGTTATAGCTTATTTCATTTTTAAAGGGAAACTGTTCTCTTTCTCACACAAACTGCATCTTTGTACAGGTAGTCCTTGACTTAACAGTTCATTTAGTGATCGTTCAAAGCTACAACGCCACTACAAAAAGTGACTTATGGCCATTTTCCACCCTTATGACCATTGCAGCATCCCCTGTGTCATGTGATCAAAATTTGGATGCCTAGCAATTGATTCATATTTATGACGGTTGCAGTGTCCTGAGGGCGTGTGGTCCCCTTTTGCGACCTTCTGACAAGCAATGTCAATGGGGAAGCCAGATTCACTTAACAACCGTGATACTAACTTAACAGCTGCAGTGAGTCACTTAACGGTGGCAAGAAAGGTCATAAAATGAGGCACAATTCACGGAACAATGTTTCGCGTAGCAACATAATTCAATTGTGGTCGTAAGTTGAGGACTACCTGAACTATGAATAGGTTTTTATCAAGTGAGATTCTTAAGCAAACAGAGGAGCATTGGCTTGTGCTCGGCTGCTGTAAAGCCATCCATTTTTAAGGGAGTCTTTGGTGGTCCTTCTGCTGGCACTGATGATGTTACCTAGTCTGGATAATGAAACGTCTGCCAAAAAACAACCAAGCTCATTTCGAACCTGAGCTACAAATATTCTCCTCTACCAATCCGTATCTCTTACCTTTTCTTCTTTTTCTGTATAAAACGAAGATAAGCACCAGGAAGAGGACAGCCAGAAAGAAAAGGCACGCAGCAATACTTGTCCATAGAGTTATTAAGGATTCATCTGTAAAGCCATAGACAACTTGGATAGAAGGCTAATAATGTTATCTAATAAATGCAGAGTTGGCGATGGATAACTACCTATTCCGATCTTTTTACCAGTCCAGTCCACCCAAATTGTTCGTCTTCTCAACTTTCCTGGCTTCCAAGCTCTTAACAACCTCTTTAAGATTCCAGGCAAATAATACCGGTTGCAAGGAAAAGAATGGTGGCATTTTCCAGTTTATTTATGTCATCAATATCCTGCCTTTATTTTATACAATTTTAGGCAGAGTACACAATGCTCCCTCTTTCCATTTTCCCATAAGAGCACACTAAGAAGTGAGTTGGGTTAAGGCGGATGGACAGGCTGATAGTTAGCTAGTTAGCTTCTGCACCTAAAGGAGGATTATAACTCATAACCAACTTAGTTTCTAATCCACTATCTTAACCACTAAAATAAAATAGCTTTTGAACTTCTCCTCCACTCACCAACTCATTACCATCAATCATCTACTGAGAAGAATACTAGAACTGCATATCAGTTTTAAAATCCATTTTATTCTAATTTACAGACAATGCAACTTTTAGCAATTTAGGCAAGTTGCACAACTGTGTTTTTCTTGAGGTGGGGTTGAATTGTGGAGTCCTTGGTGCTCTCTGAGCTTGATGGTTTGATTCAAAACAATTGTGATCACGACCTATGACTTGCTATTGATATGTACACTTTGAGCTTATGTACCGGCAACAAATTCCATGTGTGTGTCCAATCACACTTGGTCAATAAAGCTATTCTGTTCTATTTCTAGTTCCATTTCTATTTCAGAACATATCCTCTCCAGTAGCCAATACTGAGATAAGCATGGATTAACCCCAGACAAACAATCAAGCAAAGCAGAAAACAATACCCTAATAAAATAAAATAAACTATTAAGAAGAAAACCACATACCCACCAAAACAGGCAGGGCAAGCTACTGAAGCAACCCTTACACTCACTCATGCTGATGATGTCACCTATAGTAGTTGGGTAATGTGACATCTAAACAACGACCTCAGAGAGCACCAAGGACTCCACTTCTGTTTTTTTCTGTATTGTTTTTCAACTGGAAAGGCTTTTTTCTGCTCTTGGCCCACTTCCATGCTTGGAGAGCCATCTGAAGCTGGTCATGTGATCAACTTCAGGGGATTGATAGAGCCTGTAGCTGAACCTACTGCAGTTCTGACTGTGATCAAAGACCTTCTGCCCCCCACTCCCTGCAGAAAGCAATACATACTGTACATTGCTAACACCTCTACCCCTTCCACATTTTCTTGAGAGCACTTTCTTATCATGGGAATTTGAGCAGTTACTGTCAAAGGAGAACTCTTCCTGCTCCTCCACCTCCACCTCCACCATTATTATCATCATTAACTAAATCTTCTCATTGTATGGTTAACCCAAACTATCATTGGCAAGTGGCTCACTATTTCATTAATAGCCTATAATGTGTACCCTTTTTATAGTCTATTATAATCTGGTGATGGATTAACTCAGCAATGCAGATAAGCCTCTGGTCCATACCAGAGTATGTGTCTACTCTCTCTTGTCTAGCTTTTCTGTCTCTTATGTTTATTAATTGAATTTCCATAGCCTGTTTAAAAAAATGGAAAGTCTAGGTCTCATTCTATCTGTCAATATTTCTGTCTCTCTACCTTTACTTGATGGCATCCACTAAACATTTTCAAACGTCCCACAAGCCAGTGATGGGTTGCAGGTGGTACGCCTCGGTATGAGTGTAACGGAGCCTGGCCGGAGCACCGGGTACTGTTCTGGTACGGTGCTCCAGAGGACCCACCCACCCACCTGAGCTCCTTTCCTGTCCTTTAAAGCCTTCGGCACTTCCGCACATGTGCATGGCACATACAGCGCCTGCATGACACTCCAACAAGCAGCTGGAGCATCATGGAGGCATCACTGGAAGGTATGACACATGCGCACATTGCATGCATGTGCGCACATACTGTGCACGTTCATGTGGAGGACGCCGGGCCCCATTGCAACTGTACCGGTTGCAACGGGATCCAGAACCCACCACTGCCCACAAGCCCATCTATTGCTACTCATATTTAGATGTGTGTGACTACCACATTGTGCAGACAATGTGTCCAATATCCACTGTCCCGGTTCAAGGTCTTTCAGAAATTCAGTCTGTCTCTGACTCACTGACAGGGCAAATGGGAAAAATGAAACATGTTACTTTGTCATCATACCTTTAGAAACCCTCTTCAGTGGGTCACTTGGCACTGACCAGACAAAGGGCTTGCTTTTGTTGTGGTATTGGCAGGTATAATTTTGTGTCTCTTCCAACTTCACCCAGCGGGGAGAAAAAATCACCGCCTTTTCCCCTAGCTCTGCAGCTTTGCAATCTATCTGTTCCCCTGATTTCAGAAGAGCAAAAATCAGATCTGGTTCTGTTGCATTGCACTGTATGGAGACATTTGCTTCTTGAGCATCTTGCTCTTCATTTATAATCTGGATGGAAGGCTTGGTCAGGCCGGGATCTAGAAAGGGGAAAAGATTCAGTGGAACCTCAGAGACTCTTGTAGACCAGAATCTCCCGTTTCACTCAACCACAAATAACACCACCCCCATCTCCTTTCAATCTTTTGGCAATAAAAGGATCATCTTCTCCATTCTCACATACATATTTTTTTCAAATAAGAAAGCCTTTTATTTCTTCCCCATTCTGTTAATTTATCCAGGTGTCCAAATATGCCTTATATTACATTCTGTGTCTTTAAAGTGATATGCTAAACAATTTAGCTTACAGAGAAGAATGGCATCTGTAAAAGCAGAAAATGTGTCAGAATGAAACTATAGATGCCCAGTGCACCCTCTTCTATCCATCAATCAAAGAAGGGTTGAGGTTAAAGCAGGGTTGGGCAATTAATTTTCCCAGAGGGCCACATGAGAAACTGGGACTCTTGTAGAAGGCTGAGCCAAAAGGGCTCTGAAGATGTATAGGCACCCAGGCATGAATATATAATCTTCCTTTTTACAACCCTGTAATCCAGGGGTGGGTTGCTCCCGGTTGGGCTGAATCGGTAGTGGTTTTTTGGCCTGGGTCACAGAACCAGCAGTGAGTCAGGCAGGCCACACCCCTGAACTGGTTCCATGGTCCTGGCTGCCGTTACCGGCATGTTGTTTTGTAGTGCGCACGCATATGCAGTTCACTGTAAATTGTTCTGCACATGTGTGAAGAGTGAGTTACATTGAACTGCGCACGCACACGCAGCCTGCATCTGGTGCACATGAAGCGAACCAGTAGTAAAACCGGGACCAACCCACCTCTGCTTTAATCCCTTAATTACAATCAGGAACATATTTACAATTTTAAAAAAGCCGTTGCCTTCAAAATAAAAGCAATGCAGTTATATGGTGTGCATAGCATACACTTATTTACATTTGATTTTTAATTTCCGGTTGACCTCATGAGGGGCAGACAGGGACAGCCAAAGGGCTAGATGTGGGTTAGGATTACACATAGCTATCTCTGCTACTCCAACTGAAATTTTGTACATCTAATAATCTAATTAAGACTGTGATCCATGAATGCATGTTTGACCCAATTAAGGTGGCGTGAGCTGATACCACATGCTAAGAATACAAATATTAAACCTAATCAAGCTTCAATTATGGAGAAAATATAATCACCAACTTTTTGTGTAAACTCAACCATCCAATCGCAGCATTTCCAAGGAGGACTGAGAAACGTATTCCCTTAAGACCTTGAAAAGCAAAAATTATTCCCAAATTTCATTGCAGGAGGGACCTTTGAAATAAATACCTTGACCAAGGGCTTCTGGGAAAGAAATGGCAAACTGAAGATGGGGTCAACCCCATCCAGAACCAAAGATGTTAAAGTATGTGGTAAGTTATTAAAATTGTTTATGTTGATATATATATATTGTAGTGAAGGTATTGTAATGGAGAAATTTTCTGACAGTGAAAACAATCAACCAATGGAACAATTTGCCTTCGGAAGTTGTATGAGCTTCATCACTGGAGGCTTTCGAGAAAAGACTGGACTCCCATTTGTTAGTTGTGTGTGTGTGTGTGTGTGTGTGTGTGTGTGTGTGTGTATGATTAAAAACTAACATATATAAAAACGGAGCAGCCACTCACCCAGATATTGGTACTTTGTTGGTTGTGAAACATTTGCAAGGAGGGGGATGCACTGGCTCAGAGGTTTAATGACGCTGGAACTCCTGGCTAGAAATGGTTTGCCCTTCAGCAGTTTGAGCCCGGCTCCATGAGATGGAGTGAGCTCCTGTCGCTCGATCCCTGACTCCCCTCCAACCAGCAGTTCAAAAGCATGCAATATTGTGAGTAGAAAAATGGATACCACTTTGATGGTGCTAGTAGTGGTGGAGGTGCCTCTGT